TAATGACTGAGCCACCCAGGCACCCCCAGACTTCTTTTTCTTTTAGACGATCCTTTTGGTGTATATTCCCAATGCAAGATTACCAAGTCAAACAGAACGAACAGATTTGGAGCTCTTGTTACATATTTTTTAGGCTCTTCTCTGGGAAGACTGATCTGCTTACAGTTGCCCCGACCTTTTAAACCACGTTCCATGGGGGATTGTCCTCCCCTTTGGCAGAGGAACCCCCAGGGAGGAGGGCCCTGGGATTGTTGGCGCTGGGGAGGAAGGCCAGGATGGCCACTTAAGGCCGAGGGTTGCATGCTTTCTGTGTTGGGTGGCCTCTGAGTGGAGGCTGGAGTTGAGAATGTCATCCTGTGCTCTCCACATGGGGTCTCAACCATCATATTACAAGGAATCTAGTTTTTCACTTTCTTATCTGAAAGTGAAAGGTACACCTTGGAAGGCTCAGGTTTAGTGTATTTCTCTTGGTAAGTTTACAGATATTTCTAATAAGCAAGTATCAGACATGTGTAGGGTTTGCTGTCTGATCTTTTGGAACCTGACCATTAATGGTCAAGTAAGTTCGGGCTGCATTTTGCCCAGAGCTGACTCTGTTATCCTTGATTCTGGCCTCATGCCAGCATGGGCAAGCACTGCCTCTAAGAACAGGTCCCAATTAAGTACTTTTTGCCTCCTGCCCTAGATTGGTATGTAGCTCTGGGCTGAACACCTGCTTCACTCCACCCAAGAGGTGGCTGGACTCCTGTGGTAGGCGAGACATTTCCTGGGTAATTTCTCACCTGGAAAGGGCTCTGAGGAGCTGCACTACAATAGGCGAAGTTGTCACTTGAATTCTTTCTCAGAGAGGTAGAGGGTGAAAATCCCAGACCTTGGGAATAGAGGCCTGGGTTTGAGTTATAGTTCTGCCACTTTGGAACCGAGTAATCTCGGGTGAGTCACTCATCCTCCCTTGTTTTTTTTTTATCTGTGAAATGGGTTGTTGAGAGGCTCAAAAGACAGGATGTAGAATAAAAGTGTTTGCAAACTGTAAGGCACTATATAAATGTTGCTTGTTAGTTTCCTGGTGAATTACTCCCCTCCAGGTACCTCTTATCTTTCACGTGGTCTGGCTTTTTTTGATAGGATCCTAGTCGTTTATTGATAATGGTGGTTATAATCACAACTGAAATTTATTGAATGCTTATCCTACATACTTTATCCCAGCTCCTTCCCTTAATTTCTTGGAGCCTCAGTTTCCTTATCTGTAAAACGGGAATAATACTAGCATCTGTCTTGGGACCGATGTGAGGATTAAATCAACCGATTTAGCATAGTACCTAACATATTTAGTAAGTGCTCAACAAGTGTTGGAATCATACACATAATGTTCTCCCATTTAATTCTCCCTGTGAAATAAGTACTATAGTATTATTCCTGTTTGACAGATGAAACCTTTGGGATTCAGAGAGGTAAGTGCCTTAGGTGACCCAGCTAATGATTTGCAGAATCAGGATTCAATCTGAAGCCAGTGTTCTGTCCACCATGGACCTCTTAGTGGGATAGGCTGTAGTCAGGTAGCGTAAGTTAGTAATTTTGGAAGGTAGATTCAGTTCAAGTCAGCAACCATTCGGGTGAAGGCAAAGACACAGGTCACAGGCATTTATAGTGTTAATTTATAATATTAACCACTAATCCTACTTCTTCATGGTACAACACCCTGGTCTTCCCCTCCATCCAGCCCCATTCTTAGGGACTAGGTAATTTCCTCCATCTCTGCCCCCAACCTTTCCATTTGACCTCTACCCAACTTCCCTGGGAGGGGCCTCAGAGCCCGTCCATTGCTCAGCTCTCCTGAATCATGATTGTCATAAGTCTTTGTAGGTTAATGCCACCTTCCTTCATCATCTGTCATGTCAGCGGCCACACGTTACACAGGTGCACATTACTTTATTGGTATAACCCATCGTGTGTAAGTCCTGGGCATATTATTTGATATCAGAATAAAACCTACTCCATCCTTATGCTGGAAGTTCCCAGAGGGCAGAGCCCAAATCTCTTACTCTATTTGTAATCCCTCTTCTCCCACAAGAGAAAATAATGTCTAGTTCTAGCACTCCTCTAAAGAAGGAAGTGGTGTGGCCTCCTTAAGGTGTAGAAGATGCCAATTAGGAGAGCAGGTAGGATTCCAAATGGGTGGGTGAAGCCAGAGGCTCCTAAAAACACCAAAGGAAGGCTAAGTATAGCGTCCTTTTGAATAACACCTTTTGCTTTTCAAATTAATCTTGTATTTTTTCATAAGCATGACCCCCTATGAAGCTATCCCTGCTCTCAAGGACCATGCAGAGGGGCCTGACTTATCTTTGGTATTGGTGAAACCTAACATAGAGGTTATATATCTGGAGAGGCCAGAGGGAATAGCATAACCAGACTTTTTTCTCATTTGCCCTTCAGACCAAGCCAGTGGAGGAAGCATTGACTGGTCATATGACAATGGCATCAAATACTCATTTGCCTTTGAACTGAGGGACACCGGTCGATATGGCTTCCTCCTTCCGGCCAGTCAGATCTTGCCCACAGCCGAAGAGACCTGGCTTGGCTTGAAGACAATCATAGAGCATGTGCGAGACCATCCCTATTAGGGCTTTGGGGAATAGACACCATTAAAAGCTCTTTGATTTGAAGCAAAGTTGGGTTGTGATTATTCCTTTTTCTAATCCTGATCTTGGAGCACTATTTCTTTGATTTATGTTGCCCTAAAACATAACAAGCTACTGAGCTGTACCCCTTCATCTTTAAAAACAAACAAACAAACAAACAAAACCCATCCTGAGCAAAAAGGCTCCCAACATCGTTTAAAAATTTTTAAAAAATTGTGTAAAATATACATATCATAAGATTGACCATTTTCACCATTTTTAAGTGTGCAATTCAGTGGCATTAAGTACATTCACAAGGTTGTGCAATCATTACCATCATTCATCTCTGGAAATTTTTCATTATCCCAGACTGAAACTCTGTACCCGTTCAGCGTTAACTCCCCATTCTCCCTCCTGTCCTGCCCCCAGAAACCTCTATTCTACTTTCAGTCTCTATGAATTTGCCTATTCCAGGTACCTCATATAAATGGAATCATATAGTATTTGTCCTTTTGTGACTGGCTTGTTTTACTTAGCCTAATGTCCTCAAGGTTCATCCATGTTGTGGCATGTGTCAGCCCCTTCACCTTAATAGAGCAGCATTTTGGAGCTAGCAAGGGACTTTCGAGTTTCTTTATTCAATAAATACTAATTAAACAACTACATTGTGTCACACATTATCCTAGGTACTTACATATCTTCTGGTCCCATTGTTGCCTTTGGCTTTTTCCCATTTCTAGTATGCTGCATTATAAAAACAAGTGGGAACCCAAACCAATGATACACATCAAACCTGGGTCTCAGATTCTATATAATTTTTTTTAGACATTCACTTCCATTAGGGATTGAGATTTTCTTCCTTTTGATGGTTTTCTCTGGGAGAAGAAGGTGGGAAGTGAATTCTGGGTCCTTGATTCTTTAGTTCACATTTCTTGCAGATTCAGCTCCCAGCTTCTCTTGTTACTAATTTCAAAGCTGAAATCTGTCTCGGAGCCCAACCATTGTTATGGACCAGGGTGTGTGTAGGAGTTCCGTTTCAGTGCTCGAAGGATGAAAGAGTCCTGATAAAGCCCCCAGTTCCATAATTCCTGACAAAGACTCTCCTTGACCCAAACTTACTTCAGCTTCTCTGGGCCCTCTTTTTGACTAGGCCTTGTCCTTGGGCCCTGTCTAAGTCAGTCTTAGCAAAGAATCCTGCTAAATCATCCCCTAGTCCTTGATATCTGATTGAATTCCTCATCCTCCAACTTTGATGACTAAGTCCTTGGTCTGCCTTTGGCAAGAACCTGTGAGTCCAGTTAAACAAGAAGACCCCTACCCTTGATGTTTCCTCTTAGCAGTATTCCATCTACTGACCCCCTTCACTCTGCTCTCTTTACTGTACTTGGAGTTGAACACAATTACTCTCTTCTGTTGTGTGAGCCCTATTGTAATAATCTTGAATAAAGTCTTCCTTACAGTTTTAACAAGTCTCAGAATAATTTTTCTTTAACACCCCCAAAAATGACCATTGGTTGTATCCACCCCCCTTGAGCAAGAGCAGAAAGAATGATGTAGACCATGGGGACAGTGGGATGGGGGAGGCTTTGGGTTTGGGGCTCTGAATTTGAGGATTTGGAGCTCCCAGGACAGACTTGAAGGCCTCAGAGTCCCTAAGGAGTCATGGAGATCTTGAGTGCCTTTCATTTATTCTGATGTGATTTGGTGGAAAGGACACCAGACTCAGAGTCTAGCAAATGTAAAAAAGTCTCATTATTAATAATACCATTAAGCCTTACCTTTACTCAGACCCCAAGGAAAACTGATATTTCGTCCAGACTAACACTTCTTCCTTTCCCAATGACCTCATGTATTTCTACTTTTTTAGTGGAGTCATAAGAGTTAGGTGTCAGATTCATATCAGAGGTCACAAACTCTCATCATCATGGCCTGCTCTGGTGAAATTCTCCGACAGGGCTTATCAAGTGTGTGGTCTTGGAGTTGGCTTGGGGTTTCTTTGATAGTCTTCACTTTTTTTTTTTAACTCTAGAGGTAACTCCATTTCAGGTTTACAATTTGGCCTCTCAGTAAATTCTTTCCAGCACTGTGGGACTTCCCTATTTACTGAAAAAACACTATTTAAATACCAAGCGATGAGCAATATGGCACCTTTGGCACAGACTTCCAGTCTGAGGAGCAAGTTCCTGATCTTGTAAATCAAGAGGCCTTTATCACCCAAAAGGAATGTAAGATTCATCGGTAGGAGCCCGCTTGATGTACATCACAGTTGCAAGGGTGCTTGGGAATCACATTAGCATTTTTGAGGACATGAGTCTGCCTCACACTTCTTATAAATACAACTTGACTCAGCCACTCCATGACTGACACCCTTGGGACATGAAGTGGATACTGTTCTTTGGGGCCCTTATTGGGCTCAGCATCTGTGGCCGAGAAAAGTTTTTTGGGTAAGTTCCTTTTTTTCTTTTTTAAAGATTTTATTTATTTATTTGAGAGAGAGAATGAGACAGAGAGAGAGCATGAGAGGGGGGAGGATCAGAGGGAGAAGCAGACTCCCTGTTGAGCAGGGAGCCTGATGTGGGACTCGATCCTGGGACTCCAGGATCATGACCTGAGCCGAAGGCAGTCGCTTAACCAACTGAGCCACCCAGGCGCCCTGGGTAAGTTCCTTTTGGACTTATTATTATTACTTGGTTGGTTCAGTGATATGGGAACCAAATGGATTTGAAAATGAATGGCTGATTATATCTCAAGTGGAGTTGGCATTGGGAAAGAAGACACGAGCTCGTATCCCAATTCTGCCCTGTGTCATCCTGGGCAAGCTCCTTCTCTCTTAGGCTTAATCCTATCTGTGAAATCAAGATGAGGTGGCCTCTACAGTCCCTCCCTGGCTCCCTAATCTCCTGCCAGTTCTTTTCCTTCCCAGTTCTTATTTCTAAAGTCAGTTTCAGTCCTCTTCTACTTTCTTACTTCTATATTATGAAGTACCAAGAACTCCCAGAAATTGTTTCTAATTTCTGCCATGCTTAGGGGAAAACCGGGGTCTTAGGCTCTTTGGTTTCACCTCTCTGTTAGCGAGGAAGGCTTTGTAGAGCCGGGGCTTTCTCATCAGCGCCTGGGACACGGAGATTCACTAGCTCTTGCCTAGCCACAGTGGGGAGACTTGACATGTAAGGGCACACCTGTGCACTGTGTGTGTGTGCCTGTGTGTGCACGCACGTGTACGTGTACACACATGCTCAACACGCTCCATGCAGAATGCTTTGCGGTTTGCGGAGGAGAGGCCATTTGGGAGGTGGGAGAGATGAAAGGATGCCACGGTCCCCTGCTAGAAGATGGAATTCTAATAACTCATTACTGCCTAATGCTTTGCCATTTGCAAAGAGCTTTCATGTGCATTATCTTTTGGATCACGCAACAACTCTGCCGGGCAGGGGTGTTATTTTCCTCAGTTTGAACATGAAAAAACTCAGCCTTAGAAAGGTTAGGGAACCTGCCCAATGCCACTCAGCTGGTAAGCAGGGGAGCTGGAACTCCGAAGGCAAAACCCATACCCTTTTGCTGTAACACAAGTTAATCTCCAGATAGAATCCTCTATCTCACAGATATATCTGTATCTGTTAGTTTACTCTCTAATATGCTAGCTGGCTAAAGGGACTTGGGGGCTGTTTATTGAGGTAATTACTTATATGAGATTGAGTAATTTTTATGGTGATGACTTCTTTTCACACCTGGTGTCTGCTGTCAAATAGCTCAGAGGGGTTAGGCATAGCAGGTGGCCAGAGAAGGAGATTTTTCCACAGGCAGCTCAGCAGTAGGTGTGTAATAACTACGCTTGCTGCCGTGTGGGCTGATGCATGGAGCTGTCAGGCTCTCACTGCAGCTATTCACATGGCTGGAAAAATCTTTATTTCTCAGGATGCAGACTTCGCTTACAATGTAGCGGACACCTGAGTTGAGACAGCTGGGCCTGGCGCTGGAGTGCCCACCATGGGAGCTTACACAGAAAGGGCTGCGTGTCTGAGCTAATTGCAGGTGGTTTTAACCGATGGTGTCATCCTCACCCCAAAATCTGTTCTCCCCCTATAGTAGGGAACCCAGCAAAGGTGGTGGGATCCTTCCAGGGGCTCATAGACATGTCCCACACACCCAGCTCAGTGAACGTTTCTAGCAAGGGGAAGCTGGCCTCTCTGAGCTTTCAAGTGGTGGGAAGCCAGAGCACAGGTTGGCTAGGAGGGGGGACAGTACCAATGGAGATGGAGATGATGGGTTTTCTCCCCCACTCTCACCCCCCAGCTTTTGTTCCTTCCACCTAATGCCCTAGCCCTCCCCCCCCACCAAGTGTCCAGTGTCTCGCTCTGCTGGTGTCTTCTGTCCTGCCCTTTGGTCATCTTAAGGATGGGCCGGTGGCCAGGATGCCTAGAGGTACAGGGCAGGCAGAGAACAGGAACGTAGTTGCAGAACCGGTTGGAGCATCAGCAGTAGTTGGCAGGCATTTAAGAGTTCCGTGAAACCAACTCTTGTGGTGGCTGCTAAGCCTGGCCGGGGATATGGGCAAGAGAGGCACAAAGAACAGGCCCCTTGGCTTGCCTGCATGGAAACGAGGGAGGGATAGAAGCTCAGCACCAGGGGGGCTATTGACTGTCAGAATGTGGGATGAGGGACGCCTGGGTGGCTCGGTCGTTAAGCATCTGCCTTCGGCTCAGGTCATGATCCCAGGGTCCTGGGATCGAGCCCCGCATTGGGCTCCCTGCTCAGCTCCCTGCTCTCTCTCTCCCATTCCCCCTGCTTGTGTTCCCTCTCTCGCTGTGTCTCTCTCTGTCAAAAAAGTAAATAAAATCTTTAAAAAAAAAAAAAAAAGAATGTGGGATGAGTGTGAGGGTGAATGAGAGGAGGGCGCCAGGAGCACCAAGAACACCTGGGTGGACTAGCAGGGGTAGACATGGCAACTTGCAAATCCCAATATATGCCCTCTACTAGACCGACCTTCATTTGCAGAGAGTTTGAGATCTTTGCATGGATTTCCAGACGGCAGAGATAGGTTGTGTTCAGCTCTCTGCACTCTCAGGACTGGGAAAGAGCATTTTTCAAATAGAGACAAGGATGATTAGGGCAAGAAAATGGCTGCCCTTCACCGACACCTACTTAACGTTCTCTCTGCTTCTGTGTTTTGATGGACTTATGCTCATGAGAATGGTGTTAGATCTGCCAACCACCCCCCCGCCCCCCTTTTAGTGCCCTCTGAAGGCTGTCCCTAATGTTGCCTCCGGGTTAGGGAGAACCTCATGGGTGATGACAGTTGGTTCTAAAGCCTGGGCATGAGGTTGCCAGGCAGATAAGGAAAAGGGCTGGGCCATCCGGGCAGAGGGAACAGCATGTGCACAGGCATGGAAGGGCAAAAGACATGGTGAATTTGGGATTTCAATAAGGTTGGAGCTGAGAGGGTGGAGGAGGGAGAGGTGGAGGAGAAACAGATGGGGAAGGGCTCCACTCTGCACCAGCCCTTCCACTCTGCCTCTCTGTACTCCAGTTGTGTCTTTGTCCTCTGTAGCTTGGCTGATAGGGCCTGATGAAATGTGCTGTGGATTTGCTCATGCTCAGGGCCAGACAGATCCACTGTCATGGACTGTGCCCAGGAGTATGGAAGTTCTGCTGTGAAGTCACCACTCCAGGAAAAATAAACTGCATGCTCTGGGTGCCTGTGTCACATTATCTTCATACTCTTGAGAGCCCCTTATTCTTAGATTCCTCTTTTCTTCCTGTTCCTTCTCCCTCCCCTCCTTCCTTCTCATTGTTCTAGTCAGTGCTGTATTTTACAGATGCCTCATTTTGCCGATAGAGATGTCAGTGCACAGGAGCTTTCTAGAACACTCATTTTAAAGACTCCTCTTTTTCTGGAGTGTTGGGGGTGGGTTGTGACAGAGCGTAACTTCGGCAGATGGGCCCTGGCACTTAGCCAGAAGTAAGGATTTCCCTTCTGTTTTAAACCTGTTCCTTTTTTGGGAGGCTGCTTGCCTGTGTCGGGGAGATGGTGGTTTGACTCCCCATCTTCACAGGGCTGTGGTTCAACTCCTAGCAAGCCTGTTGGGTTCAGACTGAGACCTGCCAGGCCTCAGCAGCTGCCAGGGGTTGTGCTTGGCGGCCCACCTCCAAGGACCCTGTGGAGACTGGTTGAGCTGGGAGAAAGTGAGCCCTTTGGCGCTGGCATTTCCTCCAGACCTGCCACCCGCAGTGGCAGCCACTCTGCGGTGGACCTTGCCTCTTTGGGGCTGGACTAGACCCCCTGGAGATTCTCCAGAACCTCCTGGAACAAAGTGAAACCCTGAGAGTCCCATCTGGATTGAGCCGGTTTTCTGATGAGAAGATGCGGATCTGCCACGTGAGGCTGCACATTCAGCTCCCTGTGACAGAACCATTTTCCCTGTCAACAGGTCCTTCAGCCCACAGGCCTCTCCAGCAGCTCTTCCCGCATTCATTCGTGTAAAGGGATGACGCATGTGACAGCGTCGAGTGCGGATTCATTCGGGCCGTCACCTAGCAACGGCCTAATGGCTCCCCTGGCTCCCTGAGCCGGCTGAGAGCACAAAGGCAGCTTTTCAGGCTCGGCCTTCTCCCACCCACACACAGGACTTCAGGGGCCTCGGCCCCTGCCGCTGCTGCGGAAGCTAAATGGTGTAGATGAAGCAAGTTCAGGACAAACAACAAAGGGGGGCTCGGGACTGGCCGGCTCCCTTCTGGGCCCTTCTCAGGGCCCCCTTGGGAGGAGTGAATCCCAAGTCAGCCCCAGCACCTTAGCCCGTATTGTACTTCGCATTTGTATGGAGTTCTGGAGCTGGACAGGATTGAGAGACCACCCAGCAAATAGCTAACCCTCTGAGGATGGAAGGTCTTTTCTCTTTTCCAGCTCTTTCCAGCGTGGACCTTCAGCCAGAGTTTCAGTCCTCGCCCCTGACAGTGAAGAAGTGCTTCTTTATGTCTTGAGTTAGCTTTGCGTGTAACTCAGGAACATTCCTTTCTGCAAAATATATATGTTTTTCATTATAAAGTAATATGACCACATTACAGAAAACAGATACAAGGGTAAAAAAAGTCAGTCATCCATAATCCCACGACCCGGACATAAGCACTGTCAGCATTTGCTATATTTCCGTTGTCTGTTTTTCTTCCAATGCATCTGCTTTTTCCATACTTGTAATCATGGCATACATACAATTTTGTGTCCTGCTCTTTCACTTAATATTTCCCTTCAAGTTATACTATAAGCACTTTTTCATATTTGCCACGTAGTCTTATTTTTAATGGCTATACATTATAACCAAAGACTAGACCATTTCCTCTCATTCGTCCCAGTTATGTCTGGGACATAGGCTTGGGGTTTATTTGCCAGTTGAAAGCTCACCATTATCTTTTGCTTTTTTTTTTTTTTTTCCCTCCAGGGACCAAGTTTTTAGGATTAACGTCAGAAATGGAGACGAGATCAGCAAACTAAGTCAGCTAGTGAATTCAGACAACCTTAAGGTACCTAGTTCTTAGTCCTCTTGGGTATCTCTGACTTTGGTGAGAGGAGACTCTTGCACCACTGACATTGTTACTCCTGGAGAGTTTTTGTTAGTATAGTCCTGTATTAGTCAACGGGCCCTCACACGATTGCGAGGGTTGATGGGGAGAAGCGCTGTAGATCACAGCACTGCTGTCCTGGGAGCTGGGCGGCCTCAATGGTGGGCTCCATCTTTCTATCTGCCATTGACTTACTACTTCTTGGATTTTGCCAGGTATTGCCTTCTGGGTAGGCCTGACCAGACACAGCTATGAAATGGGCAAAGTTTACCCTTGGGCAGAACCCAGCTCCTCAGGGATCACCCTTACTTTTGGCAGTTGTTCTAGAAGAATGAGCTCATTGTGCCTTTTACCTGAACTGTCCTTTAATCTGATTTTATTTCCATTCTCTTCAGCTCAACGTCTGGAAATCTCCCTCCACCTTCGGTCATCCCATGGATGTCCTGGTCCCATCTGTCAGTCTGCAGCTAGTGAAATCCTTCTTGAAGTCCCAGGGTTTAGAGTACTCAGTGACAATTGAAGACCTGCAGGTGGGTAGGCCGAGGTCCCTAACTGGTCTTGCATAGGACAAAGCACCCAGAGTGGACCCAAGACATGTGCAAGTCATGGTCTTATCCTTCTCCATTTTATAGATGAACTCATTGAGGTCCATGGAAGTAAAATGCAGTGACTTGTTAGTGGGAACATGTTGTAGTAGAAAGGGCATACAAAGGTTAGGGAACTGGACAGATCTGTATCCAAATCCTGATTTTGCTAACTATCAGCTGTGTGACTTTGGACAAGCTATTAACGTCTTGAGCCTCTGTTTCTTCATCAGTAAAATGGTAACAGCGATGCCTACTTCATACAATTTATCGAGAAGATTAAATGTATTAAGTGTATGTGAAATGCCCAATGGTACTTGGTCTGTCATAGATGCCCCACAAGTATGAAGCTTCTCTCCCTTGTTGTATTTGAAGTCAAGAGGGAAGAAAAGTGTGTGTATGTGGGCGGGGGGGGCCTGGGGGTGTTGGAGACCAGTCATAAAAGGCATCTTTTGAGAAAGAGGGAATGTCACCAATAGTTCTCAGCAGAGGGAACATCACCACCCAAGCCAGACGCAAGCCTCACGACCTGTATCCGAACAGCAGGACAGTGTCTGGCTCATGTTCTCTCCCTCACCGAGGTGGGTTATGGACTAATTGGTGATTTGGCCCGGGAGTTTCCTGATGGCATGAGCAGCTGTGAGCTTATTAATCATCCTCACATGTCACGGACATCTGCCAGGAGCCTTCAAAGTATGAGTGGTTATAAGAATTTCTTTGTTTCTGAATGGTTTCCCAAGCTGTGTATTTCAGAGACACTGGATACCAGATGCGGGCTGATGTCTAGAGAATTCATAGTATAGAATAACCAAATAGCACATATGTTGCTTTTGGGGAGTAAGTGGGTTTTGAATGGGGTGATGTATGTTGGGTGCCAAGAAATAAGCTTTTATCGATATGTGGAAGAAATCTGACCGCCTTTCACACCTTGACGTTTGTGTGCCAATGGTGCCGCCATCTTGGCCAGCTCGTGCCAAAATATGGCAGAAACGACATGAACCTCCATCTCCAGTGGGTCACATCACAGCGTTGCTGTGTCTGTTTTAGGCCCTTTTAGATAATGAAGATGAAGAAATGCAACACAATGAAGGACAAGAGCGGAGCAATAATAGCTTCAACTATGGGGCCTACCACTCCCTGGAAGCTGTAAGTGTCTCGGAGCAGGTTAAGATCAAGGTCATTGACATCCTGGGTTTTGTAACCCCTTTCCTTACTTCCAGGAGGCATTAGTCCTTAGCACAGTACCCCTTCCCTAAGGGGCTAAAATGTGAACACTTCAGTTTGTTTTGTAATTCTTGGGTTGTTTATCTCCCACCAGCACCTAAGAGCATAGTGAAACACAACTGAACATTTTCTCCCACATGCATCCTTCTTTTCTAAGGCAACCCCTGAAAGAAAACCATGAAATAATTACAATCATTTCCATCCTTGTAATTCAACCTTCTTATACCCCACCATAATCCCTGTATTTTACTCACCCAGATTAAAATGTTACTTATTCCAGGCAAGTAGACAAGTGGTTATTTCCAAGGTTAACCAAATATTTCCACGCATTTATCATGATTACTTATAATGCATATTTGTTCTATAATGTGTTTTGGTGCTGTGTTTAGTTAAAAACCACTTTATATAGATGACTGACTTCCAAGGTAAGCCAACCCTTCCAATAAAAAATTTGGAGCAGAACCACTTAATATGATATTAGAACTTGAGGAATCAAGAGGGGCTATAGAATGGGACTGCATCACGTATCCTACAGTTTCCTTACGACCGCTAATGTCTTCTACATTAGTCTGGACATTCTCTACTAGCTCAGAACAACACCTCAAAATGAAATTGTTTTTCTCCTTCCCATACCTGCATACACGTTGTTCTTTATATCCAAAGATGGGGTTCCTGGCATGCTTTTTGTGAGGCATATACTTTGAGTTGTTTCTCTTCTAGGTGAGGGATTATTTCCAAGGTTGACCAACTGTTTTCACTTCTTTCCCATGATTGTCAGTAGCTTTGTTTATTGTGTATACTTCCAACTGCACTGCCCCTTGATCCCTTTTGTGACCAATGACATACATCTGCAAAACAGCTGGATAAAGTTAGGAGTTCAGTCCAGGGCCATGGACAAAAGCAGAGCTCAGGGCGCACACGGGGCTCAGACCCATGACGTGAGCCTCGTTAACGTGGCGCACTCCCTAGCTGAGCTAAGTGGTTGCAAATGTCACCCAAGACCCCAGGAACTCCATCCCCTCACCTGCCTGCTATGGGAACCACGCTTTCTCATGCACTTGCTTTTGCTCTCTGGCTTTAGGGGTCACTGCCATCTGATTGCAGCTTCCCCCATGCCCCCCCGCCCCCATGAGGCCTTCTGCTGTGCCTCGGTGTACCGTCTCCCTCTTGGCTTGATCACATGCAGTTCTTTCTAAAAACAGCTTTGAAGAGCTCTCATCCTGTAACCGCTTAGGCCTGGTTGGGACTCTGGTGGGAGTCTTATGTCTGTCTCAGCCAGGGTTTCCAATTTCAGATTTTCTGTGTGTTGTTGTGGTTGTCATTGTTTCTGTTGGCTTCCCGGCTGAGCGTCCCCCTCATGTTGGCAGTGTGAATTTGGACCCCTACCTCCCGATACAGCTTGGTATTTTAACTTCTCATGGGGGACTCTCTTGCCCCTCATGGCTCAGGGTGGGCATCCAGCTTTTGCTTCACTTTCTAGGGTGAGTAGGTAGAGCTTCCAGGCCCTTTTCATGGCTGGAATGGATGGTTCTCGGCTCTCAGGTTCCAGCTCCTTGGCCCACCCTGGGTCCTGTGCCCTTGATCACTATTCCTGACTTGCTGTAAACCCTCAATGCCTAAGGCAGATATCTGGTCCCGAGGCTCCATTTTCCGCCCTCAACTCAGCTTCTCACTTCTGACCCCTACAATGTCTCCTTTCTTGATTTTTAAGCTTGGCTGTGAATTATTTTTATTGTAGTTTGTCTGGCTTGAGTATATATTTGGGGGGGTGGTTTCTCGCTTCTGCTCAGTCTGCCATATTGACTGCCACTCTGATAAACCACTGAAGCTGGAGTTTTATTCAATATTGATTGCGTATTTTTCTCCTCTGTAAAGCTCCCTCTTCCACTTTTAAGATCTAAATAGAAATTTCTTTATTTCCTTCTTTTGCCCTCAGAAGTTTTGAGCAACTAAGATGGATGAACTCTATTTAAATCAAGTTTTTTTAGAAATTGAAACCAAATGGAAGCATTTGTAGCCATGATTTACAGCTCTTCACTCCTTCTCTTAAGGCCGTTAGAGGAATCTCCGAAGTGGTGTGCTTGTACTACAGGGTGTGAGCAAGATGCTTCACTGGGATGGAGGAAGAAACTATTACAACTTCTATTTACGTCCCACATACGTTTATATTTATTATTAATGCCACCATTTTGCTTCTATTTTCTTGTTTTATAATGTACATAACATATTTGGTACATTATTCCAGTGGTATACATAATGTATTGTATATATGTAATAGACATAGCATATGTATATTATAAAACAAATATATATATATATATATCGGGTGTATGCTAATTAAAAAAACACTGGTGGAGGAAGTGATGAAAAGGTTTAGAGAAGACCGTTTTCAAGAACCTTGGCTAAATGGGGCGATGGCTGATTATCCAGTCTGGTGCAGCGTGAAGGACTGCACTGTGCACAAGTCTCTCTCATTTAGTGGCCTATAATTTTATGGACAGATAAAATGTGTTATTCTCTAGAATGTTGTAGAAAAGGACTCTTTAGGCAGTTCTTCAAGAATAAGTATTCCATGGCGATAATACTGTCAACCCTGAGATCACAGGGCTGGATCTAATCATTGATCAAATCAATGAAGAAGTCATCGGGATCAGTAAGATGAAGTTCACAGATACCTACCCAGAGCTGAACAAAATTCTCAAATGCCCCTGAGTTCACCTTTTCATGCTTCAGATTTACCGTGAGATGGACAGCATTGCCGGAGATTTTCCTGAGTTGGCGAGCAGGGTGAAGATTGGGCATTCGTTTGAAAACCGGCCCATGTATGTACTAAAGGTGAGTCCCCAGGCTCTTCAAGAGGCCTGACTGGACTCAGGCTCCTGGTCCCTTGTGTCCAGGACCCAGCCCTCAGACTTCTGAAGAAGGCAGGTTTTTAGGCTCTCCTTGACTTCAGGGACGTGGGGAGACATCTACTGAGGTTCAAATTTGGTGTGACTGAGAGTCCCCTGTTTTTGCCTAACATGGAAGGAGTTAGAACTTAGAAGGAGTCCATCCCATTGCAAGTTTTGACTGAAAGGCAGGATCAACCGGGTGGGGTAGTGGTGGTGGATGGGTGAGGGGTAGTGGGGATGGGGGTAGGGTGGGTCGGTTAGCCTTCCAGAAAGCGCTCAGATGGGCCACAATCTTTTGCCTTCATTCTTACCTCTAAAAAGCAAGTCAAATTGGGATAGTTCTACAAATTCTATTCTGCTTTTAGGGGTACTTATTGGAAAAGCGATCTAGGAAGCTAATTTTAGGGTTGATGTAATTTTAAGCCCAGCCTATGATCCTTGGCTGCACAAAGCCTAATTTCTAGATATTTCTAACAGATTCAGGTCTATATTGGCAAAAGAGGTAGAGAATTTATGGCAGGGACATAAATTACATAAATAATCCAGCCAAATGAATAAAAAGGAATTTGGAGATATGAACCACGGAACAACTGAAGGTGCTAAGAATTTGTCAGATCCTTAGCTTCATATAAGCCCTGAAGAACCCAGGCTCGTGGCTTGAATTACCAGCCAGAGGAGATTTGCCACTGAGCCGGTCGCTCTAAAATAATCCACATAAATTGAGATTATTTGCCAACCTGATGGAGACTCTGGCTTCATTCGCACCATGCTTTGACCCAAGGTGGCCCGGCCCCACCCTTAAATAAGGCAGGAGCCAGAATTCATTTAATGCCATTTGCAAAGAGCTATAGTGAACCTCTCTCTTCCTCCTTTTTTTTTTTT